GCTTTCGTGGATGCTACTGCTGCAGACTTCTTGATGAAGGTGCAGATAAGGATCTCTAGTAGATCCCAGAATGGGGGGGTTACCCCGTTCTGCACTCCAATGCGTATATAGTGCATCAGGAGGTCTTGTGCCTCGCCTTCAACGGCGGTTGTCAAAGTGTGGACGTGAAACTCGTTGTAAGCTTCACCCTTCCACCCACACGACGACATATAGGCTAGCCAGGAGTGCAGCCAGTTGTGGAATATCTTCGAGTTATTCTCTCCAGACCATTTGATGGTCGGAGTCAGTCCCTGCATCTTCTTGAGCAGTTCTGGGCGTACATCTGCAGGCAGTGGCTGCAGGATTCGGACCTCCACACTTCGGCGTGCAGATTCAAGAAGCTGAGTCATGAACTCAGATGGATCAGGCACTACTCGTGCCGCCGGTGCTGCGTATGAACGCATGGTTGAATCAAACAAACCGGGTCGTACAGATGAGCGGTTTGGAAAGTTGGATGAAGGCTCCCGTTTTGCTTCGGTGCCAAATAGGTCAGGAAGTGGTGGGTTGGGCCAGGACGAGCCACCCTCGCCACCATCCTCGTCATCACCATCGCCACTCGGACGGCGGGGCCTTCTTCCGGAGTTAGACCTAACTTGGTCTACACGCCTCTTGCCCCCTTCTGGAGCCGCAGGCGGTTGTGAGAATCGGTGGTAGTTATCCAGCACTCGTCTGAGTGCTGTGCTGTGGGACAGTCTTTCAGGGTCTTCACCGTTTGCCCCACGACCCACGTTGTATACGAATGCTGCGTCTGCATCCAGACGGGCGTTAAAGTCAAAAGTAGATTCGCTGAGACTACGCTTAGCGAAGATAGGTCTGACCTTGGCGGGCTGTCCGCCAATGTCATCTACACGATCCTGGACGTAGATCGGGCGTTTTTTTCGTGCGTAGTAATCGTACGGAACACTGGTGGCTTCCGCGTCACCGTCTTCCTCTTGTATCGTCTCCACAGTGGCCTTCATCGGCACTGCTTTCTTTCTCCCGTGGTCGGGAGGGAAATTACGCGTTTGAGTAGCGTCAACGCTTGGTATCTTCACCCCACTGTTCGTGGGTTGGGACGACAGAATGAACGGCGCAGGCACGAAGCCTGGCCTAAAATGGAATGGAGAAGTTCCACTCTCCCCTGTAATCGATGATCCAGCCAGTTGTCCTGGGTCGATCTCCCTACCCTTTCCTTTGGCGTCAGTGGTTACTGGCGCCATCGACGGGGTAGGCGGCTTAGTTCCACTAAAGATAGGAACAAAACGTCCGTCAGATTCTTGTACCTCGACAGACGCGCGTGAACTTGTCGCCTCTGTGACGACGGCAGAGACAGTGGGGATCCCTCCAGGTATGGGGACCCCACTGATTGGTTGACCCGTTGGATTAACGGGGACTACAGGGACCTCCTGGGGCGCTTGCGCCTCCACAGCGGGTTTAGTGATTTGTTGACTCGTTTGATTAACGGGGACTACAGGGACCTCTTGGGGCGCTTGCGCCTCAACAGCGGTTTTTTTCGTCTGGTCAGAGACGATGATGGGGTTTCCACCCGTTGTTGGGTTCATTGGAGGGTTTGCAGATGGGTTATCCACCGTTGCTGCGGGTGGCTTTGGCTCGTCGCGTCGAGAGAGCGCGAGGAGAATTTCGTTAAGTTTCTCATTAAGTCTTTCCTCCACCTTAATGATGTTACGATCTAGACGAGCGATGTTGTCGCTATTCCCAGAGATCTGGGTATTCATGTTACAGACATCGCCTCTCAAGTCGGCGATGTCGTCGTCGACTTGGTCGACGCGATTTCTTAGTACTCGCGCCGTTTCAGACGCGAGGGAGTGGGTTGGGGATGGAGGACGTGACGCGCGCATTGGGATGAATGCCGCGAGAGTCTCCGCTGCGAGGGCTTCAGACGTTGTGACTTCGTCAACGTCTCTCATATAGGTGGGACGCGTCTGAGACGCGTCCCTGGGCCCTTGCAGGCCCAGATCGCCACCATCACTTGAGGTGGTGTCATCTTCCGCCCTACGGCTAGTGGAGGGGCCGGCCGTGTTGGCGGGAGCGTTGGACGTGCTCCTGGTGTTGTATCTCCACGACATCCAGAAGAGGTGTCGAGTTGTTCAACAAGTTCGCGTGAGAACTTGATCGAAGTCGCGCGTTGTCAGGGGCCAACGACGCGCGCGTTGCCAAATGGGGTTTCGGCACCGGTAACGCGGTGCCGAGAATGGAAAGAGAATAATAGCGTAAAAAAGTGAAAGGTTATCTTACTAGTTTGGGGACGGTAATGTTCCGTTCCCCCATTCGCCTCAGGCCTCAGTAATCCGTCTAAGTATACGCTTGATTTGGCTGTATATTGACGGGGTAGAAGTAAAGGCTAATCTGCCTTTTACAGCTACCCCGAGGGTTTATATACAATCTTATACATTCTCGGCACAAATAAATAGAGAAGCTTCTGCGACGCTAAATTAGCGTCGCAACATAATTATTACACAACACAACATCAACTGATGTTGTGGGCGGAATATAGACATGGGCCGGGGCCTCACACATACCCTCCAGTTCACCTCTGGTTCACCTCCACCTCTGATCTCCAGTACCTTCTCCGGTACCTCTTATCCTCATCTTAAACATTTATTAATATTCCTATCTACCCAATATTACTACAGACCTCCTAGGACCTCTGCCACCCCCGCAAAGGTTTTCCCACTCTCCAGTAGCTGTCACTAATTCCACCCTTCACTTACCCACTCCACAATGCTTGATAAGGTGATTCTCCCATGAGCTCGCTGACCCGGCAAGTGGGTAAGTCCCCCTTGGGTTTTCCCCTTTGTTCCCATTTGTCTTCTATTATGTATATAAGTCCTGTACTGTAGTTGATGGCACCTCAGTGCAAAATTGACAAGACTATCCCCCAGAGTTTGCACCCCTGTTCTGAAGTTAAGGACCAAGCTCTTAAGCATTACTGAATGTAGGCACAGCACTCCTCTCTGAGTTGCTGAGGCCACAGTCTTCCTGCTCATTCTCTACCTCTGGCCTCCTTCCAGGGAAAGGTCCAGGGAACTGCCCCTCCTCACCATGTTCTTGACAGAGTGGAGGTATGAGTGGTGTCCAAGTTTGGGGTACAGGATGGAAGTGGAGGTCATACCTTGGTGGAGGTTGGTGGAAGAGAGTTGGAAGGAGAGGAAGGTGGTGTCAGGTCCAAAGGTGGGGGCAGACTGGCTCCCACTAGCAGAGTTTGCTTACAACAACTGCATCCACTCATCCACCCACCAGACACCCTTTGAACTCGACACTGGGCAACACCCCAGAATGGGGACAGAACCCACCCATACATCTGAAGTGGAAGCTGCTGATGCCTTTTCATCAAGGATGATGAAGATGCAGGAGGAAGCAAAGGCAGCACTGGAGCATGCAGTGGACAAGATGGCCTGCTACTACAACCGAGGCCGTGAGAGAGCCCCCAAGTACCAGGAAGGCAACCAAGTCTGGCTCAGCGCCCAGAACTATACAACCAAATGCCCCACCAAGAAGCTGGACCACAAATGGCTATGTTATAAGAATGGAGTCTCTCATGACTGTGTTGACTGAATGTCAACCATAGCAGGCCCTCCTTATCTGTCTCCTCCTGTCTCTTTCTTATATTTCTCCCTGTTTCCCCCCTCTTACACATCCACCCAGTGCTAAGCTTTCCCCTATTGGGGTTTTGGTGCTGGCCAGTATGTTATTCCATTTTGCGAGACTCCTTGTGATCTTACTCATTCAGTAGTTACAGCCGATTCCAAAAAAACTTGCCGTTTGGATCTCATCAAAAGAGATCAGGTGATTCTCTTTTCCTGAAAAGGTTGACCAGATCCATGCCTCACGAAAGGGTTTCCTTATTTGGTTGAATCCGCTTAGCACTGGGGTCTGACCAGAAACATGACATAGTGAATTTTCAGGTCCACCCCATCTGACCAACATCTGACACAGCATATAGGACACATGGGGTGTCAGGGCAATAGCCCCGAACCCTGAGCCCCATGTAAATTAGATACATATAGTCACGTGGGCAAGTGGGAACCTCCGGGAAACTGCTTACACACCACTGTAAAATACACAAACTTGTATCACTTACAGCCTTGTGTGCTGAGCTACCCAAAGACCTCACACTTTTTTAAGTGCATGAGGTGTGTTTTACAACACAACCCACAACTCCAAAAATCTTAACATCTGACTCGGAAGCGCCTATGGTGCCTAAACACACCCGCAAGGGCAAGGTCGCATCTGCAGCAGCTGAAAGAGATGAAGTCCCTCGTAGGAGGGAGACGAGGGAGTGACAGTGGCTCCTCGTCCAGACCGTCCAAACGGGCACGGTCTGATAACTTGAGGGCATCAGAAGACGCCTGCGACCATTGCGCCCACTGGAGGCATGAATACAACAGAGCACGAAGAGATGCTGAGGGCATCTTTGACTCTCTGAAAGACACAGAGAGAGAAGTCGATCTCCAAAAAAGGGAGATCGAATTACTGAAACACGAGCTCAGAGAGGCACGCGCACTGGCAGACCTCGCTGCCAAACCCATCATGACAGGGGCCTCCCAGGTCAGGGGGAGGGGATACGGTTCCGGGCCTCATGAGGCGTGACCCCACATGGGGACTAGCGCATCAAGGGGTGGGGCACCGACTATCCTGCCACCCCGTGGGCAGGCAACCCTGTCCGGGTTGCATAAGGGCCCGCCCTCAGAGGGGCAAACCCATGTTGAGGGGAAGAGGGAGAGCGGTAGGCAACCGACGGCAGACCCTAAAATGGGGACCACTGCCAGAGGCGGCGGGCCGCTGAGTACCTCAGCACCCTATGGGCAAGCTACCCTGCAGGGAAGTGTCCACATGCTATACGAGACCGCCGAACTCAATGAGTTCGGCAAAGTCGAAGCTCCAGTCAACATAACAATCGACCCCAACTTCCCCATGAGGAGAATAAGGTAAGGGAGAAGGAGTGGCGGAAAGGAGAGTTGTCAGGTCCAAAGGTGAGTATCGGAGCGGACAGGGGAAGCATAGGAGGGTGACGGGAGGGTGGAGGTGTTGTGAAGGAGGAGCGGAGTAGGAGGAGGAGGAGTAGTGGCGAGAGGGGCGGTGTTCAGTCCGAGGTGAGTATCGGAGCGGACGGAGATAGGGGAGGAGAGGGAAGGAGGAGCAGAGGTGGCATGGGGGGTAGAAGGAGGTGTGTTGCCAGGACCGGAGGTGAGTATCGGAACGGCAGCGGTAGGGTATGACTCCGGAGGTGAAGAGGGTGGAGGTCCGGAAGTCGGGTCGGGGTCGGGTATGCACGGATATGACAGAAGTTGGGAGAGCACCGTGCCGGTTTGTCAGGATACCGAGCTGCTTGGAGCTAAGGTCAAGAGATCCAGTGGAAGTGGAGGTAAGACTAGGAAGGTCTGGGTCGGTCTCAATAGGAGAACCGCGAGGTGTGCTAGGTGACACAGGCTCCAGCTGAGCAGCGAGGGGAAATGAGTTGTATTCCAGCCACTATGTTACTATGTACAACATACCTGAGCAGCGAGGGGAAATGAGAGAAGAAAGCTGGTCTTCCTGCTCGCTACTCAGGGTGTAATATACTGTAGCCCACACACACAGCTAATCTACGAGGCACTGTACATACCAACAATCAATGATCCAGGTTTGTCTGGCTGTGTTGGATCATGGATCATGGAACATGGATCTTGGAGTGGGATCAGATCATAAGGCTGTACAGGGATCATGGATCATGGAATCTGGGTGATCATAGATCATGGAATCAGATCATGATGGTAAGTAGGCTGGAAGTGGCCGGAAGTGGGTGTACTCTGACACGGTTGCAAAGTTGGATGCGTCGCACTCGAGCCTGAAGTGGCCGTGGTCAGTGGGGAAAGAGAGGACAGGGGCCATGGTAACAGCTTCCTTGAGGGTGCGGAAGGCATCGTCTTTGCTTGGGCCCCAGTTCCAGGCTTGGGTCTTCCGGGTCAGCTGGTGAAGGGGGCATGCCTTCTCAGAGAAGTCCCTGATGAACTGGCAATAGAAGTTTACGAATCCTAGGAAGGATTGCACCTCCTTCACCTTGGTTGGCTAGTCGAGGACTCCCTGGATCTTTACTGGGTCCATTGTGACGTTACCCTCCGAGATAACGAGGCTGAGGTACTCGATCCAGGTTCGCTCGAACTTACACTTCTCTGGTTTAAGGAAGAGCCTCCTTCTCCTCAGCGTCTCCAGGACTTCACAGACGACCCTCCGATGTTCCTCCAGGGTGGCCGTGAAGATTAGGATATCATCCATGTAACAGATGACAACCTCCCGGTCGATGAAATCCCTCAGGATGTCGTTCATCATGGTCTGGAAGGTTGCTGGGGAGTTGCACAGGCTGAAGAACATCACCATGGGCTCGAACAGCCCTCGATTGGCCGTGAACGCCGCCCCCCACTCATCCCCATCCTTGATCCGGACGTTGTTGAACCCCCAGTGTAGGTCCAAGGCTGAGAAGTACTTGGCATTGCGGAGGCGGGCGAGGATGTCCGAGATGAGGGGGAGCGGGTACGAGTTTTTACTGTGATCTCGTTCAGCTTCCTGTAGTCCTGGACCAGGCGTAGTGACCCGTCCTTCTTCTTGACAAAGAAGACTGGCGCTCCCATAGGGGACATGGACGACCGTATACGCCCGTTCTGCAGGTTCTTGCATAGGAACTCATCCAGCTCTTTCTGTTCTGGGCACGAGAGTGGGAAGGTTTTTCCCCTGGGCAGTTTGGCATCCGGTACCAGGTCTATGGCGTGGTCCCAGGGCTTCCAGGGGGGCAACTGGTCAAAGGCTTCTTTGGAGAACACGTCCCGGAAGTCCTGGTAATGCTTTGGTACTAGTGTCTTGAACGACGTGGGCTCAGCCTCTGGGTCACGGGCCTCCTGGGCCATCCACTGCGAGGGGGTTGTGGTGGCTCTTAGGTCATGGCCCCAGCTTGGGGGGATGATCGGAGCGTAGATCCCTTCCCCAGGCTCCAGTGTGGGGTCCTGGTCATCCTGTACTCACGGTTGTCTGCAGGAGGACAGGCACCGGGACATGATGACCTTCTGTCGTGCCCAGTCCACCTCTGGGTTGTGGTGGAGCAGCCAGGAGTGTCCTATGATGAGGGATTGCCACCCGAGATTTGCGACTGCGAAGCATGCCCGCTCTGTGTGCCGCCCAAAGGTCAGGAGGGCTTCTAGCTCCTCGGTTATAGCTCCATTCTCATTCGGGGTTCCGTCGACATTATGGATGGGAATGGGCTGGGGAAGGGGGGTCGTCTCCAGATTGTGCTTCCGGATGAACTCAGGGCTTACGAAGTTCCTGGTGGCTCCTGAGTCCAGGAGGGCTGATACAGACACTGATGCGAGGGAGGTTAGGGCGGTCAGTTTCACCGTGAGGTTGAGAGACCTAGGGGATTGTTTGGAAAGGACGTAAATGGCTGGGGGGAGACCGCTACTTCGGGCGTTACTGCCCTTGGGGTCTTCTCATTCTCACGGGTGGAGGGTGCGTTTCTCCTCTTTTTCTTCGCAATGACTCGATGAAATTTTGGCATTGGTGTTGGCTTATGCGCGCTGCGGTATTTACATGAGCTATCTTCTACAGGTGGCCGGGATGCATCCCTCACCGGTCGCCTGCCTGACAATCCCTCTGAGGCTCCGCCTCTGGTTCCTCCTCCACTGTCTCCGTCCCTTCAGTCAACTGTCTCTTCAGCCCTTCCATCAGCACCCTTAGGTCTTCTGGGTGGAGATGTCGTACTCGGCTGACCCTGGGGTGTGGGCACTCTCGTGCGAGATGCCCTGGGGTGTTACAGTTGTAGCACCGCCTCTGGTCAGTCCTCGACCTGTCGAGATCCATCAGCTGGGGGCCTGTCCCTGACACGGGACAGGCTGCTGGAGTGGGGGGTGGAGGTGCGGGAGCAGGTCGTAGGGGGGTTTGTGCGGGTCGCATCTGGGATGGGGTCGCAGTTAGTGGAGGTCGAGCTGGCGGAAGCGGGGGTCTGGGCGGGGGTGCGCATGGTTGGGTGGCTTGGAAACGTTGCCACTGGTTGTCCAGAAGTGTGGCTTCCCGTTTCCACTCGGCCCAGGTGGTGGGCATGGGGCGGAGGCGGTATATGCTCTCCCTGAGCCGGGAGTTAATTGCCTGCTCGAATCAGTCGACCAGCCCGACATCCCCTAGCCTCGAGGTGGGTCCCAGTATCTCGAACTCCTGGATAACCTTATCCACAGAGTCAGTCCCTTGGCGGATGACTGCCAACTTCTGCCAGGCTCTGGCCTCCCGGTTTGGGTCTGTCAGGGCACACCCGCCTCACCCACCTCACCCGGCTCCACCCGGCTCCACTCCACCCGCTACCCCCTTCTCCCCCTCCCTATCTCCTCCTCCCTCCACTTCCCCCTCTTCTTATTTCTTCTCTGTCTCATTCTCTATTCTTTCTATTTCTATTTACATGGACGACTTCCCTTGATCAATGTACTACTAACCCGCCCGCGACCCACGCACGATGCACCCAACCCCGGATGCTCCGGACGACCCCTGGGTACACCCAGCACGCGCGCCTGCAGCAGATCCCTTCAGGATCCCCCATGGGGATACCTGGGTGGCTGGGGCTGTGCATGGGGACGACGTGGCAACTCTCATGTGACCTGAGCACCATGTATATAAACATACCTGGGGTGGGAACCAGAGAAGCAGTCTTCTTCTCACCATTCCCACTTCAGGGACGTCTGCCTGTGCCGGACCCGTTGCCACACATGCCCACTTCATACCCCACCAGGCCCTCAGCGCCAGGCGATATACCTGGACGCTCTCGACCCCGGACCGGTCCCTGACAGGGTCCTGGAACATGGCATTGAGTTCCGTGTTGAACTCGTCCATGGTAATGGTGGGGGAGTTGGCTGTTAACAGGGTGATCGTCCGTTGTGTCACCCACGCCCCTGCGGGTCCCCCTTTCATGTAGGAGAGGATGAAGAGGATCTGGGACAGCTCGGTGGGGAACTCAGCAGCGTGGACATGGAAGTAGATCCCGCACTCGACCTTAAAATGGTCAAGGTCTTCACTGGCTCCTGAGAAGGGAGTGGGGGGAGCGACCTTTGGTGGTTTGGGCCTAGGCGCGAGTGGGGGCATAGGGACAGGTGCAGGCGCGGGTGCTGGTGCAGGCATGGGTGGGGGGTGGTTGTAGGCTTGGCTCTCCACAATAGCTTGGAGTTCCTGGAAGCGGGCCAGCAGGTCGTCGTACTGCTCTTCTGACACCATGGCTGGGGAGATAGGGGAGGCGGGGGAGATAAGGTTAAAACCTTCTTCTGCTGTCAGGGACATGTCCAGGGTCGAGGGGGCCCGGGTGTAACGCCCAGCGCTGAGGCCGTCGCAAGGTGTAGAGTGGGCGTGCGTAGTGACGGGCCCGATCCAGGACGACGATCCCTGGCCACTCAGACTGAAGTGGGAATTGTGAGTTGTTATTTGTCAGGGACCGGTCCGGGGTCGAGAGCGTCCGGGTATATCACCAGCACTGAGGGCCCAATGGGGTATGAAGTGGGTGCATGCGGCAACGGGTCCGGCACAGGCAGATGTCCCTGAAGTGGGAATGGTGAGAAGAAGACTGCTTCTCTGGTTCCCACCCCAGGTATGTTTATATACATGGTGCTCAGGTCACATGAGAGTTGCCACGTCGTCCCCATGCACAGCCCCAGCCACCGGGTATCCCCATGGGGGATCCCAAAGGGATCCGCTGCAGGCACGTGTGCTGGGTGTACCCGGGGGTCGTCCAGAGCATCTGGGGCTGGGTGCATCGTGCATGGGTCGCAGGCGGGTTAGTAGTACATCAATCAAGGGAAGTTGTCCATGTAAATAGGAATAGAAAGAATAGAGAATGAGACAGAGAAGAAATAAGAAGAGGGGGAAGTGGAGGGAGGAGGAGATAGGGAGGGGGAGAAGGGGGTAGCAGGTGGAGTGGAGCCAGGTGAGGCAGGTGTGCCCTGACATTATTAAAAGAGAAACTATGCTACTTACCTGAAGTGGGAATCGTGAGAAGAAGGTTACTTCTTCAGTTCCCACCCCAGGTACTTTATGTACATGCGGCTTGGGTCACATGAGGTTTGCCACATCACCCCGCATACAGCTGCAGTCATCCAGGTGTCCCCGCGGGGGATCCTGAGGGTGAGTGCTGCACGTGCGCATGCTGGGTTGCACCGTGAGGCCATCCGGGTCGTCCGGGGCTGGGTGCGTCATGCACATGTCACAGGCGGGTCGATAATACATAGATAAGGGGAAATGTCATCCATGTGGATAAAGATAGAAGAAAGGGCAAGAGAGCAAAAGAACAGAAAGACAAAAGGAAAAACATGAAGTGAGAAACAATGCTGAAGAGTGAGGGGTGGAGGTGGGCGGGGTACTGGGTGAGGGCGGGTGGAGCCGGGTCGGGCAGGTCTGCCCTGACACCTAGTGATAAAATCGACTAGAGTTTCCCTCTTCTAAGTTCTCTTTGCCAGTTAGTAAATTAGGGCACGGATGTGTAACTAGGCACAGTGCTCCTGGTCTAGTCGCTGAGGCCAAAGCCCACCACCACAGGGATGTCTCCTTCATCCTGTATCCGGTCTCTGACAGTTTGGGTTGGTACAGCATGGGCGTTCTTTCTTTGACTTCTTCCCATCAGATTTACCATTACTTTTGTCAGCACCTTTTCCGGTTT